GGTGTGAAGCTGGCCACATCCTCAATATCACAAATGATTTTGAACAGTCTCCTGTAATGTTCATCTGCTGCAGGATATTGCTTCACGTTTTCCTTATACTCTGCCTGTAGTGAGGCTCTTTTCTCTGCCCAGAATGCATGATAGCCAGGCACCGAGGCGCCCGCCATGTCTGGCACGGCACAACACGACACAGGCCTCAAGCAAAATCTGATAATTTTAACAACAAAATACTGAAAATTTCAGAGCTACCAGCAATAGAACTCCTTTATACTCTCCTTGAGCGTGAATCAGTCCTGTCCTGTCAAACAGACAATCTCGAATCCACCACTCGATCCCGATTCTGCATCGAATCCAATCCGCTCAGACATATACAACAGCACACTAACTCGGAATCGAACTCCTCAACTCCACTCACTCAACCTGAATCTCTGTCGACTCCAAATCTCCCATCCTCCTATCCATCACCGATAACTCGCCGTTGGAGCTGCCCATTTTTATACACTGCACGGTGGGCGGAGCGAAACTCTAAATTGAGGAGGAAGAATTGATTGGCTAGCGCACGTAATGACGTAGATTCGGGCTAGCAGCGAGCGCAGTATAAATACGAACATTTGAAGCAATCTGATTGGTTAGCGGGCGTGATGGTGAAAAGTGATGTGAAGAGCGAGCGTTGCAGAAATGCGTGATAATGTGGGATGTTCCCACAGTTGATAATAAATCATATCTTCCTCTATATATAATTTTGCATCAATTATGCATTTCGTTTAGAAATGTCTAAAATTACACTAGTCTCAAAATATAGTTTAATGGTAAATTAATGTATTAAATACATAATTATACACTTAAGTGCCACAACTTTTTTACATGACCTGAAGCTTTCACAATGACTATGCAGTGAAGTGTTCTTGGGTAATCAGTCATGCATGTCAGTATGGAGTTAGCCTCTAAAACAATGTGTCGGTTTCCCTTCTATTTCACACTATTGTGATTTGAATGCACACATACAAAATCCTATATTCCTATCATAACACAAAGTAAACGTTTCCAGTATTTTAGTACATGTAGGAATATAGTATGCAAATTGTCAAGAGGATTTGCGAATAGGAAGACATAAAGAATCATACTTTTACTATAAAAAAATTTAAGAAATATCTTTTTATAAAAATTGTGTAACTTACATTTGTGAACCATAATTTTAAAATTTGTAACAAGTATAACTCAAATTTCCTTTTATTCTCATCCTCTGAGAATGGCCACAAGGGGCCAAACATGTAAGACCATGCATTTAATTGATCTATTAAATTAAATTGGTCACAGCTGGTGTCTTGTTATTCCAGCAGTAGTTATAATCTGTTTTGTCAGTGCGACTCTTAACTCCATCCAGGACGATCCATGTAGTTTCAGGACTATGTTTCTAAGTTTTGGACAGCCTCTAAGCAGTAAAACCGAAGGTTGATATTTGAGACATTAGGCACTCTTTCAGACCCTCTTGAGCGTGTAGTTTTCATAGAAAAGAAATGGTTGTTTTTATGGGTTCATTTACGATGCTGTCAATAGCTAGATTATAAAGCATCGAATGATGGAACGTAGAGACACGATAAATTGGAAGGATTTGGAAAGAAGACACGAGTGAAGAACACCATCATTGCAGCTGCCCATTTGATGTGAATATACACAATTTTTAATGGATTTGAAGTCATGCTCTTTTGCAGCACGCATGGGAGCAAGGAGGAATGCATGCAGGGTTTTTGTGAGGCATCCAGAAGCAAAGAGACCACTAGAAGCACATAGACGTAGGTGGAGGATAATATTAAAGTGGATCTTAGAGAATAGAATGGGGTGGCATGGACTGGATTAATGTGGAGACCAATTTAGTATTAACACAGCTAATCACCCATGAAGATTTCATTCAAAACATTCATTTCATCATATATATACACATTCCTCTTAGTAACAAGAGAGACATACGGTATTTGTATGTTATGACTTGTTTTAATCAAATCTCAGGAAATTAGTCCTTTCACCTCCACAAATCTTAAGCACAGACATAACTGTCAGAGGAGGTTCTGTTTGTCAGCATTTAAAGTTTTACTGTTTTACTGACTTTTTCTTGAAAAATATTTTATTCTTCAACTATTTTTTTATTGCTAGTCGGGCGGGACTAAGTCCCTTGTACTGCAGCCACTTCTGGCCTATTGTACCAGCCCCAGATGATAGGTGAGGGTGATTGTGGAGCAATTGATGGAATGAAGATTAGCAGGGGAAACCGAAGTACTCGGAGAAAACCTGCCCCAGCGCCACTTTGTCCACCACAAATCCCACTTGACCAGACCCAAGATCAACCCGGGCGGCCGCAGTGGGAAGCCAGCAACTAACAGCTTGAACTATGGCACAGCCTTTCTTCAACTAAGTGAGACATTCAAAGAATACATAATAAAATTATATTTGGCATTAGTGTGAAAAGGAGACCATGTTAGGTGGATCCCTTGTCACCATGGCATGACGCGTCCTCAGGTTGCAGATGGAGGAAACGCCCTCCAGTTTTGGAGGGTAGCTGCGAATATATTGAATAAACAGTAGCGAACAGCCAACAAAGGTGGTCCTCCAGCTTGGGGGTTGGGCATGGGGCTAACAACTCCTCACCGTAAAAAATAATTATGTTACGAAAATGAACACAAAGCCTCAAAAAGGCTCTTGTGAACATGGTAATGAACCTTCGGTTTCCATAAAAAACTGGGAAATTCTTGAGTGGCTGCACAATTGGCAGCTTCTCAAGAAAGGCTCAGCTCCATAAGTACGTAGGTAAGTAAGTGAAGAAAGAGAACAGGCTGAAAACAACTATCTTCATAGCTGACACAGTGGATGCTATACATTGACATGATTATGCACTGCATTCACCCTGAAAGGGTTGAAGTGGAAATGAATGTTCAATTAACATGAGAAGGTTAAATTCAAAGTATTATTAAAATATTAGACCATCTGTACTAAATTAAAATTGAAATTCATATTTATATTTTATAAATTTATGTGACTACTTTATACTATTTCAGGTGTAATAATGCAAGTAAGTGAACGTGGGGCTGGTGTTTATGGATGTGGCTTGCCCACTCAAAATGGTATTGTAAAATTTGAAGCAATGAGGTGGATTCTGTCTCTCTTGAATCAAAGGAGTGGTTCAACTTTTCTACCAGGTATTTCTCTTGGTAAGTTAGTAACAAGTAACTTGTTTGAATACCTTTGTTTAGTGCCACAGATTTTCATCATTTCATTAATATTCTAATGGTTATCGATATTTGGAGCAGTTGTCCCCTCATCCATAACAACTTCTGCTTTTGAGATCAGTTCTTTGTCCACACATCACTTCACCACACACCCAAAGCATTCACCTTCACTTTCACGTTCTCAGCACTGCATTGAACTGAATGGAAAACTGACTGATTATTCTAACTCGCTAACTGACTAATGGACTGCACTGACTAACTAAACACTACCAGACTCGTGGCTCTCTCTACTGCTCTGTGCTGCAATGAACTGATCTAGCTATAGCAAGAATTTGGCACCAATTTTATAAGTGGAGCCATGCTTCAGGAGGTTCTAGGCAGTTTTTGGTGACCTTGGCCTTTGGCATAATTTGAGCAGTTTCAGACAGAGATGGGGTGGGGGGGTCCTCATTATTTCCAGAACTGGAGGCTCTTGCATGTCAGGAAATGTGAACCCACCATTCCACACTCCTGTGACAATATTATCATTCCATTTTTTTAAAACCTGGAAACACATGGACAAAAGAGTTTCTGAATTTAAAGTATGAATTCAAAATATATTGTAGCATGTAGATCTGTTGCTAAGTAATGAATCTGTAAACAATGCCTGTTACTAGGCAACAAATTCCCAACAAGCACAATGAACTAAATGGGAAGGTGTCCTCTACACGGTCCGCACAAAAGCTGCATGATGCAATACCAGAACTGTTTAAAGCAGCGTTTTTTTCGCAGTCCATTCTGAGGTGTTATAAGCAGAGCAGGTCTATAGTTTAATTAGTTTGGAGACAATTGCCAGCCAGTAATAGAGTGAAAATGGAAGATGAGGTAGCTATGGCGTTGGAAACCGTTACCAGACAATGACTGGTGAAGACACAGCAGAGAAACATGCTTACTGAACTGTTGGCTAGCAATTGATTTGTTCATTGCTGCATGAACATGTGTTTGGCAAGCCGTTGGTTAGCAGTGGACTTCCGCTCTGGCTCAGCCATTCCAGTCTTCAGGCATCAAGTCACATTTTATATATATAGTGACATGTTGCGCAATGGAGGACAACCCCTCCCTACCCAGCAGTGACATGGCAGATGAGTCAGCGCTCCGTCCCTCCCCCCTCCGCACTATGACATGGCACATGACTGTGACGCCGCTGTCGACACAATGTCAGACAACAGCGGTACCCATTGCATAACAGGCAAGCTCTGTGACTATATAAGGGAAATACACAGCCGCTGCAGTCAGTCTAAAGCGTATCAGCCGCCGACAATTAGTTCTCGAGTTTACGAGATAGTACGAGTTATGGACACGTGTGCGAGAATCAGTGATACGTGATTACCGAGTAATAATTGGGAGTGTGTGATACAGTTGCACTTGTATAACTCCCGCGTTATAAAAACGTGTAGACTACTGACAATAGAGTGAAGTGAATATTGAATAAGGTTTGTAAATTGTGAAAACCCATAACGGTGTTATAATTAATTGTAGCCGAGACTTGTAGGTTGTTGAATAAACCAATTAACAATCTCTACGGCGTCTTCAGTAACAAAATACGTTACAATATATATATATATAGGTTCAAGAAATATAATATGGTGGGGCATTAGAAAAATACCCTATAATTTATACATATTGAAAAGTCCTCTCGCGCTCTTCATGTGACTAGGAGGAGATGAGGATGTCATCCAAGCAGACGAAACAGTAGTCCAGTCCCCGCAGAATGTCCTTCATGAAGCAGTGGAATGTCTGGGTGGCGATGCACAAGCCAAAGGACACGAAGGAGAACATGAACGTGAAGGAATAGGCCAAATGGAGTGGTCATGGCGGTCTTCTGTATATCGTCAGGTCAGACTGAGATTTGACTGTAACCTCTCACCACATCGATCTTGGAGAAGCTGGAACAACCGAAAAGCTGGTGGGAGTAGTCATGGATATGACAGATGGAGTTTAGGGATCGGTGATGGTCCAGGTGTTTAGTGCTCTGTAGTTGCCGTAAGGACACAAACATTTGTCCTTCTTGAGCACGATGTGTAGAGCAGAAGACCACGAACTCTCTGAGCGGTGAGTGTGCCGTCTCACAACATGGCATCAAACTCGGCTTTGGCGATAGTGAGCCGGTCCAGTGCTAGTCGCCGTGGTTGGTAGGTGACTGGTGGGCCATGTATAGTCCAGATGTGGTGGACAGTGGTGTGGCCCACTTCACGCTAGACTCCAGCTCAGTGAATGAGGTCTGAGAATTCAGCAAGGATGCTGTCGACTAGTGTGGCGACACTGATGGTCTTCATGCTTGGAATCAGTGCACTGGCTGCTTGGGCCAGGTCAAACAACGTCACTCCATCCAGCAGGCAGTTGTGTCAGCAGTCCACCAGGCCAAAATGAGACAGGAAGTCCACACCAAAGAGGGGATGTATGGCACCAGCCACCATGAACCAACATATGAAATCCTGGAATAGACCCAGGTTGAGGTTGAGAGGGAACCATCCATAGATGTGGATGTTAGTGCCGTTACATGCACAGAGGTCATAGTTGACCGTTCTCTGTGTCACGGAATGAGCCTGCAGAGTTAGCCACAGAGGTCAGAATCTGTGTCAAAAAGGAACTGCCGTTTACTAAGTCTATATGTAAAGAAGAGACAGCCTAGTGCTGTAGCACAGACATGTGCAGCCAGTGATGTCTGCTGCTTGGTTTCCCTTGCTGGCTGTATGAGCAGGGCTAAGTAAACTTTTGCACCCAGGCTCCATAGTGGTGATGGTACCAGCAGGGTTGGTGCGGTGTCACCTCAGGAGGGGAATCTGCTGCCTGGATGGTGGTTCCTGGAGCTGGGGAACTGATCCCTGGAATTGGAGCAAGGGTCCCTGGAGCTCAGGCGAGGTTCCATGAAGCTGATGCAAATATAGTCCTGTTTTGATCTGAGTCCTGCCACCGGGCGGGAGAAGTCCTTGACCTCCTGCAGAAGAGTGACCTAGGAGATATGGCCCACACAGCGGACTGCAGCATCCAAGCTTCCCTCAGGCTGACTGACAAGAATAGCATGCATTTTGGGGGGTAGCCAGCTAGACCAGATGGGGTGGCAGAAATCATCTGGCACATCTGAGGCAAGGCTCCTGAGGTGCTATAGAAACTGGGACAGCATGCGGTCACCCATCTCTAGCATAAGGAACTGGTGGCTGCACTGCTCTGTCGAGGGGGACAGTCACCTCATCAACTCTGTCCTCAGCATGGCATAGGGGTTGCATTCGGGTGGGGAGGTGATGATACCTCCTAGTTCTGAGCTGTACCGGTGGTCCACCTGCGAGATCACATGGCAGAACCCAGTCTTCTTGCTGCTGATGCCAGCCAAGAAAAACTGCGCCTCAGATTGGGCAAACCACACAGCTGGCCGTTCAGCCCAGAACGGCTGGAGCTGCAAGGCCATTCCAGATACCTCTGGTGGTGGTGAACTGTCTGCAACCTCCATGCTTCATCAGGGTCATCAATGTGGGATGTCGAATCTGGTGGCACGGAGAGACAAGAACATCAAACTACAACAAATGTTTATTGCTGTCAGAATGAATATTGCAGGCAAACATGGAAGCAGAGCGTACCTGATGAATACCAGCAAAAACTCCTTTTGTAGCAGGCTAACCTGAACTAATGATGGCAGTGATATAGTTGTCCCTGAAAAGGCCACTTGTCAGAAGCCAGGCACACCTGCTGGATACCAGGCAAAGCTCTTGTCGCAGTGGGATAGCCAGCACTAGTATTGCCGTTCTTCCTTGCAGCAGCTCAGTGCTGACAAGCCCACAGGATGCTGGGTGTTGCTCTTGCAGTAGCGGGCTCACCACTACTGGTTGCGGCGAGGCTGGCTGGCTGGCCTGGTGAGCCCTGGTGGAATAGGCTGCAGTGTTGCTACTAGTAGGCTAGCCCCTTCTATTCATAGTTGTGACCAGTTGTGACTGAGGTCCACATTTTTATACTTTTGTCACTAAGCAGCACGCGAACCAATGGGCATTGGAGCTGCCATGGTGAGCACCAATTGGGAGTGCTTGCTTCACTGTGGGAGGTTCCCATAGTCCCAACACTGTTATGATCCAAACATATTGTCACGTGTTGGGTATGTCACACAACAAATAACTTTATGTGGGTCTCGGATTCAGCGAATCTTTATTGGACATTCACTCTTACACACCATACATTTGTTAACACTTCAACTGTATTCTGCAGCGGCTATCTTCCAACTGTCTTGTATGGCGACTAAGTTCCAACTGTATTCTTGGTGTCTGTAGCTCTCAGTTTATGTAGGCGTTCTGCGGACTCAGTAGACACCTCTTGCCAAGGTTCGGTCTCACGTGTTCGGCAATCCATTGCTTCAGGAACGCTCTTTATACACTGGTAATGAGTTTCATCTCATCCAGTGTTACTCAACGGCCTTCTGTTGTTCATCTCTGGGGAAACTCTGCTTCGTTGATTCTGCAATTGTCTATGCAACGGCCCACTGTTATTGCGTTACCATGGAAGTACCTACTCCAAACACGTTACATTATTATATTTTAAACTAAATCCATGCTATGTCAGTTCAAAACATATTGTCTTCTTACTTCATGTTATATTTATTTGTATTTTTAATTGTGTAATAATATCTAATGACTGATATATATATATATAGGTTCAGGAAATACGATGTGGTGGGGCATTTGAAAAATACCCACAATTTATACATACTGAAAATTAGCAACACAGTTATTATTCAAACATATTAGGTTTTAAACCAATTCCATATTCTGTCAGTTAAAACTATGTCTTCTTAATTTACATATTATATTTATTTATGAATTAACTGCATAGAAACAACATGATACAAAGAATAATTTCTTTAAATTTACATTCAATATAATGGTCCAGTAAGTGTTACAAATTTTGCTGCAGTAATTACTAATAAAATATGACATTTTTCAGTGGAATCCATATTTACTTTTTGAAGACATTATACAAATATTTTCCAGCATTTTCCATAAAATATGAGGGACAGCTGATGGTCGTGGTCTGTATATTGGCTTTGCCAGAATATCAGTAACTTTCATAAAATGAGGTCTAATAATATTAAAAATTGGAAGTCACAATTAACTTCATTATAGACAGTAACTGCATGCATGTTCTGAAGCTCCACACATTTTCCGTGGACCACATTTTGAGAACAACTGCATCATGATCTGTTGGTTTATACAGGAATCCATGCTTTTGATACCTGTGGGAGGTTAAGAGTTGCAGTGACACAACTTGGAGAATTTCTGCCAGTATTGAAAGGAGTTAACAGTACCTTCTTCATACCCTCAGCAATAAAGCTTGGGGTGTTGGATGATGCAGGTTTATCTGATGATCCAGAAGTGCAATCAGCTCTTACAGAACTTCAGCTTCCAGTTATAAAGTTGGATCCAGAAATGATCATACCTGCAGAACAAAAAGCCAAGGTATTGACTGTGTTCATGATTTTAGATTTTTGGACAATTTTCTGAACAAACATGGTTTAGTACTACTATTTTTACATTAGCCATTTTCAATATATGCTTTGGAACATTGCTATGTGTAATAAAAATGTCCTGTGTTAAATCTGTCCTCCTTGTATTATTTATATTCATGATCAGCAAAAATCTCATATTCTGGTTACATGTAAAAACGTTAGGAATTTGAATTTATTTATTTTCATAAATCCAAGTACAGGTTGATACCATAGGTTATTGAACAAGTACAAATGCAAAATATCTGTACAATAATAGTTTTGCTTGAAAAGTTAATAAGATTATAATACAGTATTAATATTATCATGCTAAATGAATACATACAGCACAGTCTGCAAATAAGCAAAATGATTCAGTAACATGCTTGAGAATACACTTTAGCTTAGAACTGATAATAGTTACTGTTTGTTTACACTGAAATATTCATCTATGGAGTAAGAGTGAGTAAGTAAGTAACATTTCAAATGCTGTTTTAAATTGCTTAATATTACCAGTTTCTTTTTTGAGACTCTGAGAGACTACTGAACACTTTGATGCCGAAGGAGTGAACTCCTTTTTGATATAGAGATAGATTTACTGAATGTCCATGAAAGTTGAGTTTTTGTCTTGTATTTATGTTACGAATGTCATAATTTAGATTGTACATGGTTTTATTGTCTACCACAAACAATATGAGTGAGAGTATGTACTGTGAGTGAAAAGGTAATATTTTTAAGTTTTTAAATAAATCTCTGCAAGAATCTCTATTCTTCTTCCTGTGGTAATTCTAATTGCCCTCTTTTGCATTTTGAAGATTTTAGTGCTATCTGTAGAGTTTCCCCAGAATATTATTCCATATGACATAGTAGACTGAAAATAGGCATAGTAAACCATCTTCATTAGTTCTGAGACATATAGGGTTTAATACACAAGTGCATAACAAGCTGCACTTCACATGTCTACTTGCTGCTCAATATGTAATTTCCAAGACTGTGTACTATCTATAAGTAATCCAAGGAATTTTGGGTCATGTTCTGGCCGACGTACATTGCACGTCAGCATTTAAATGCCACATCTCGCCGGGCGACGTGTATCGTACGTCTTGTGCAGTGCAAAGTTTCAGCTCTTATTTTGAACTGTTGCTTTCCATGTAAAGTAATTCTTTTGGTATCAAATTAAAGAGGAAATTTCTATCAATCATTTCGTATATTCGTTATCCCACTTTGAACTTCCCGGGTTGTTTTTTTTTTAAACATTTGAAGTCTCTGAAGAAGTTTTGTAGCCCGCCGCGTAGGGTGTAGTATTATAATACGGGAATGCGCACAATGTGCATAGAATAATTGTTTTCTATCCGCGACTGTATTCGGTTATTGATGTGGTTAAGTTTTTGCATATGGTAATGTGGTATCTACTGCACTTTTTATCACAGTGTTTACACACACACGCGTCATTTGCTTCGTGGAAACGTTCGTTCTTGCATATCTTGTGGTGGAATCCGTGTGTTGCCAACCTAGTAATTGTGTGTCGTAATTTTCTGTTGGGTCCTGTCCAGGTTCTGTCAGTCATTGCATCAGTGCTGTAGAACTCTTCCCATATTTCCTCTCTTTTTTGTTTTCTTTCTTTGATAACTTCCTCTGAGTTTTTTGTGCTTGGCAGTTGATATCTGAGTTCTTCTAACAGGAAATTTTCCTTGCAGAGTTCGTATGTTAGTCTGGATTGTGTGTTCTTAGGAAGCCCTAGCGCTAGTTTAAGGTATCTTGCCTTCACTTGTTCCATTTTCCGCAGGTTTTGTTTGGATAGTTTTTCCCAGGTTATCTCTATGCCATATAGTAGTATGGGACAAATTTTTGCATGGAATATTTTCATTGCTGTTTCTAGCGATAATAGTTGCAGGTTTCGGATGGTGTATATAGCTTTGATGGCTGCTGTGCATTTTTCTGTTATGTGTGCTGTGAATGTTGTAGATG